ATCATCGACCTTACACTTGCATCAAGGAGAGCAGCGGAACTGATCTCTGAATGGCACGTGTCCCCAGGGGCATCCTGCTCTGACCACAGGTGGATTAGGTTCAACATCGCGGTACAGCGTGTTACCCAGCCACCCAGACGCATACCTAGCAAAACAAACAGAAGCCAGTTTCGCAAACAGGTAACTCGGTCATTGCGACATATGCAGTCTGAAAGTTTGGACGAAACTGATAAGATAGACGAAACAGCTGAGGAATTAACAAGAGTAATCATCTCATGCTATCAGACAGCCTGTCCTCTTAGTACGCCGTCATCCAGCTCGGATGCCAGCAAGTCTTGGTGGGGTCCCGAGCTGGATAAACTGAGAAAAAAGGTAAGAAGACTTTTTAACAGGGTCATGAATACATGTGACGACCAGGACTGGGACGCGTACAAAGATGCCAAGGCACTTTAAAAAAAAGACGCATTCGACACTGGAGCAATGGGTCTTCGAGAAAATTTTGTTCAGAAATAGACTCATGCACAAAGGCAAACAAGGTAAGGAAATTACTATCTAAAGACAAGCAGCAAGACCTAGCGCAGCTTCGGAAGGCTGATGGCTCCCTCACAGAAACAACTGAGGAGGCACAGAGGGTACTACTTGAAACCCACTTCCCGGGCTGCATCATACACACGACACATACTTGGAATGACACTAGCTGGACCCCCACGGAACAATCCTGGAACACTGCATTGAGGACAGTGTCCACAGACAAGTTAAGGTGGGCCACTAATAGCTTCCAGCCATTCAAGGCAGCCGGACCAGATGGCATCTTTCCGGCGCTGCTCCAATGGGCAGGTGAAGCGCTTATCCTTATCCTGGTACCCCTCCTGAGAGCGGGTCTTGCATTTAGATACACGCCGAAGCTCTTTATACCAAAGCCAGGTAAGGCAGACTACAACGGGGCGAAATCTTTCAGACCGATAAGTCTCTCATCATTTTTACTAAAGACTCTAGAAAGATTGTGCGACAGAGAGCTGAGAGACCACCAACTAGTCAATATTCCATTACATCCGAACCAACACGCCTATAGTCCAGGCAAGTCGACAGAATCTGCACTACATGCAGTCGTAAGTAAAATAGAGGATTGTCTCAGACGGAAAGAGCTATGTTTGGGCACCTTTATAGACATAGAAGGGGCGTTTGACAAAACAAGTTTCGCCAGCATTGTAGACGCACTCGGCAAACACGGAGTAGATGATACCATCATATACTGGGTAAGCAACATGCTCCGTAACAGACTAATCAGACTACAGGACGACAACCATCTCAGAGCATTGGCGACTAAAGGATGTCCTCAAGGAGGAGTACTATCGCCTCTTCTATGGAATGTAGTCGTAAACGACTTAATCACCAAACTAAACAACCTTCACTTCCACACGGTGGGCTACGCGGACGACCTGGCAATCTTGGCCCCGGGTAAGTCTGCGAGCACCGCCTGTGGGAGCAAAGGGAGCATTGAAGGTGGTTGAAAAATGGTGTGACGACTATGGCCTCAAGGTGAATCCGGTGAAGACAGAACTGGTAATGTTCACGAACAAAAGATCCTTAGGTGACTATCGGCTACCGAAACTCTTAAACACGACACTAACTCTCTCCAATGAGGTAAAGTATCTAGGAGTAACCTTAGACTCTAAACTGAACTGGGGATCACACATAGACAAAACTACTACGAAGACCAACATCATTTTCTGGCAGTGTCGGAAAATGATTAGCAAAACTTGGGGACTAGCACCGTTCATTGTCACCTGACAATGTGTGGTGGCTGTACACGACAATAATTAGGCCCATCATCAGCTATGCAGCAGTAGTATGGTGGACCAATACAATCCAGGTAACGACAACTAATAAGTTAAGACGTCTCCAAAGGCGGGCCTGCTGGGGCGGCTGCATGAAAACCTCTCCCACATCAGCACTGGAGACTATACTTAATGTGAGACCACTCCATTTATTTATACAACAGGAAGCTGCTTGTACAGCCACTCGCCTAAGCATGCTGGGGCTATGGAGGGACAACAACTCTCCACATACCAGTATCTTAGCAGACATACACAGGCACTTTCCGTACTTTGCAGCAGTAAACGACCTTATTCCTAAGACGTACGTATTTGACAAAAAATATAAAATACAACTGTATGAAGACACTCCGGACCGCTGTTTGCACAAGGAGCTAAGGTTCTACACGGATGGTTCAAAAACTAACTGCGGGACAGACCTAAATATACACATCTCAACAGCATTGGGAGCATATAACACAGTCTTCCAGGCAGAGTGTGTGGGCATCATTAGAGCCGCAGAGGCGATAGACTGCTGCGGGGTAAGAGGAAAACATATTCGTATTCTCTCTGACAGCGCTTCTGTCCTACAGGCACTAGACAACAATATAATGACATCAGGGTTAATTTAAGAATGCCACTGTAAGTTATCCAATATTTGTAATGACAATAGACTGACCTTACAATGGATTAAAGGACACAGCGGCTCAAGGGGTAACGATGCAGCTGACTGCCTGGCCAGAGAGGGGTCCAGCAGGACGGCCATTGGCCCGGAGCCAATTGTACCCATACCTTATCGACAGCTGAGAACCTGGATAAGGGAGCGCTGTCAACGACAACACAATGAATATTGGGCAAAACACACTGACTGCAGGCAAGCTAGGGAAGCCGTTCCTAAGGTAAACCAGCAGCTATCACGTAAGTTAATCCGACTACCTAGACAAGCCCTGAAACAAATCGTGGGTATACTCACGGGTCACGGCTACTTCAACAAACACCTTTATAATATAGGTATTTCTGACAGCCCTCTGTGCAGAGCCTGCTTGGAGGAGGAGGAGACGAGCGCCCATGTTCTGCTGGAGTGCAAAGGCATTGCAAGACAAAGGACTTCACTAATGGGTAGCCCGCGGGCACTAGTAGAAGCCTGCAGCAACATCCGGGGACAGCTGAGCTTTTTGGAGGAGCTGGGATAGCAGGACTGATGCCAATCCCCACGCAAAATAGGTACTGGGTGTCGAGTTGCGGAAACAGCCCTCCGTTCTAATAAGACTAAGACTGGTCAGACATAAATGAACTGCGCATACACAGATAAATTCAACCAAGATCTGGATCGGCAGTGGCAGTCTTCTCACTAAACCTTACCATTAACTTATCAATCAAAAAGCCCTGGGTAAACACAGCTCAATATTTCAATGTGAGTGTTTAATCATTACCCAGGCCGCCATCGCAGTCATCAATAGGAAAGCCAGGAACTATAAAATACTTTCTGATAGTATGTATGGCTGTCCTAAAAGCCCTGGAAAGCAACAGCAAAACCTCAGGGCTAATTTACAAATGTCACCTGGCACTGGAACAAACGGTAACAACCAACAGTGTTATCCAGCAATAGATTAAGGGACATGGCACCTCAATGGGAAATTACGTGGCCAATGAACTGGCGAGAAGAGGGTCAGTGCAGATTGTGGAAGGACCTGAGCCCATGCTGCCAATGCCATTCAGCCAACTTCGTACTTAGATGGGCCAACAAACTGTACAGAGCTACAATACCCGATGGGTCAATACTGAGGGCTGCAAACAATCTAAAGAGAGTTGCCCTAGTCTAAACTAACCCGAAAATTACTAAAGCTCAACCATATAGATCTCCGAGTAATGCTAGGCACAATAACATTACAGGTTGCTGCCCAATTAACAAGCATATACCAAGCATACATATTATAGATAGCTCTCTGTGCAGAGGATGTCTAGTAGCAAATGAAAAGGCCACTTGTGTAATCCGGGAATGCATGAGTGTGACAAAACAATGGGATATCATCCTCGGGTCACTGAGGAGGATGCTCCTAGAAGCCTGTGAGAGTCCCAGGAGGCTATTGCGCTTTGGAAGGAGCTGGGCTGGCTGAGCTAGCTGGTCCCACAACCATTCTGCACACACAATGGACCACATCAAGAGTCTATGTGCGGAAACGGGGACCCAACACAATTAGTAATAAGTAACCATTGTAGTTTGTTGTATTGATGAAGATGTTGCAGCTCAGAGTTAAAAATCAGTAACCAACCTAATGCATAAGTTATTAGAATAGTATTGAAATACCTCTCGGCTTTTAATTGAAACCCTAAAAATAATGCCCTTTTGTTCAATGATTAGTGATAAGATGTCAGCAAATACTTGTTCAACCAAGAGAGCTCTCTAGATACAATTAATAGATAACACATTCCAAGTCCAACAGGCACTGTTCAGGCAGGCAAAATAGGCCACTTTATAAATGTAAATGTCTTTGTTATAAATCTGAAGAATATTGTCAGACAACATCCTTAAGTTTGATATAAAAAAAAATGGAACAAATGTCTTGCATAAAAGGTTACTAAATTTATTAGGGAAAATTAGTAAATAGTTTGAATACTGATTATCAAATTTTTTATTAATATTTGATGTTTTTTATTTTGTTTTGGGTATGGATTATATGTATTTATAGTGATTCATTTAAGCAACATAGTAGAGACTAACAAATTCATATTATTAAATATTATAAATAAACATAATATCAATGGTATGTCACACACTTGATACTAGTAGAATTGTGCTTCTACTATTAGCTAATAACGTTTTCGTGTAATTCTTGAAAATTTATTGCCATAATTTCCAAGTAGAACACCGTTAGAATACCCTTTAGAGTGTTGTAACTTTGTAAATAACCATTAAAACAATTAATTTCTTTATAAATGTTAAACTTTCGAAGTCACAAAGCCATCTAAAAATACGAAGCAATGTATCTTTCATCGAGTGAAAATGATGCAAGTTTAAACCGAAACAAGGAAAACTCTTCAGAGGAGAGCTTTCGCCCTGCTACAAATTTATTTACGTTTAATATATTTACAAGAAGCTACTCTAAACAAAGTAACATAATATCAGTAAATATTTAGAGAAACCACTGTTCGATACACAATAAGAATAACAGTCATATAACCCACCTTCAAGGGCCAGGTAAATAGGTGCAATCCGGTGATTGGAGAGATTCAACATAACTTAGTCCTTACTCCATCTAAATCACTGGCCATAACTCCATTAATACAACACTTCTAACTTTTCCACTTTAACTACCGATTGATTAACACCATTATACTTTAATGTTTAGTTACAATCTACAATAAAGAGAGATTCACTGCAATTTACAACACCTTCAATTATATCGAACACAGCTTAGCCTTCCTTCTCCACAGACGAAAGATTCACAGACTACTTGGATACTAGGTACGTACAGATGCACGCATGCCTTCTCTCTCTAGAAATGAGAGGAGAGGATCCACTAAATCAAAAGCGTTCCAAAATATTTCTGAAGATATGTCTATGGATTGAACGAATGGTTATATTGTGACTGAATGGCAGATAACAAGTGATGTGAAGAGAATAAACTATGGTGTCGATTCTGGCGTGATTCTATAAAGCTAAACTTCAATAGGCTAGTTGACTCATGTCGAATTGTATTAAACAAATGTTTATTACATAAAGTATTTGTTTTAAGGAACCTAAATATATCAATTTCACTTCATAAAAGCAGAAGATTGCTGTAGAAATTTAATTTAAAAAAAAATTTTTTAGTGTATACTTTTTAAACACTAAAAACGCTGTTCGCCACATCCGCCATAATTGTGACGTCTCTTTTAGTAAACAATTTAATGTCATTCATACTTAACTTTAAAACTTGTATTATTAAAACTGATAATAAATGAAGAGACTTATAATATTATTCAATGAGTACTCACATCAAAGTGATCTTCGCAAAAATAAATTTCACTATGATTCGATAAAGTTGCAGGATCACTTTTAGCAAGTTCTAACCAGATACTGGTGTCGATTCTGGCATGATTCTCTAAACCTAAACGTAAATTTGACTGAATACAGAATGAAAAGGAGAGACTGATGTTAAATTTAGTTTTAAGTTTAGAGAATCGTGTCAGAATCGATACCATTGCGTAGGTTAATTTCTTTCGGCACTCCACAACTTTCCTGGAGTCTTCAAGGATGTGTTTTTATTTCTCGTACAATACAATAATGATAATTACTATATTATAGGTATCTATTAGAAATCATGTTTTTTTTATTATAAACTCATATAGGTTATTTTCTACGTGCTTACGAATTTTTGTTTACTACCGTCGACGTCATAGCATAGATAATCTATAGACTAAAATGGCCGACAGCGTTTTTGTATGTCCATGAAAAGTCTATTTTAAAATTAAAGATTTGTAGCTTTCTAGGTCTCAAAAAAATACAATACATTTTTTTTCGTTCTAATAGAACATTTATTAACCATTTCAAACCTTTTTCCAAAAAGGGTCAACTAGCCTATTTGACAACTGTGCATGCTTGTCATCTTAGACCAAGAATTCTTTATCTAAGCTTGTCATTCTCTATACAGAATGAAAAGGAGAACCTGATGTTAAATTTAGTTTTAAGTTTAGAGAATCATTTTTTTTTTCTCTCTTTATTGGGTCACCAACAGTTACTACATCTTATTCAATACAATTTTACATTCAATGATATAATGTGTAACCACTTATAGGCGAACTCAGCATGCATTACATTAAGCTTAAGCAGATATTATTTAATTAAATTAAGTGTGTGTGTGTGTGTTTCTTTAAATCTGTTTCAAAATATTTTTATATTTTTTCTTTATGAATTTGGAGGAAATATGTGATCATACAATTTGTTTCGCAATGAGACCACAGAGTCATGATGTATGTCGACAATGTCACTCTATTTGTTTAGAGTATATGATAATCTCGCAATGGGGGAGTTGGAACCAAGTACCGTTCTTCTCAAGGGTGGACAAAGTGGTGTAATTGATCTGCGCGGTATTTTAGATGGTGCCCGGAATTTGAAGAGTGCTAGCAGCTGCGAAGAATCAATGGCGTTTTTTACCAATTTAGAAAGAAATATAATGTCCAGTAATTCCCGCCTGCTTGTCAAGGACAACATTCCAAAATATCTTAGCCTTTCAGTGTAAGACCCAAGTTCCTTAGCTTTGCCAATCCACAGTGCTATAGACCCAGACACGCCATAGATAGTCAATTTTGCCAGCAAGATTTCACGGGAGACTCTATCAAAGGCTTTCGATAAATCCGTGTAAATAACATCGAATTGCTTTCCAGCATCAACAGCTTGTACTAGAGACTCAGTGAAAATCGCCAAGTTCGTACTAGTTGATCTAGCGCTCGTAAAGCCATGCTGATGAACACTGAGATATTGTTTAAGGTGAACTCGTAGTGGCTCTGATATTAAAGTTTCAAGGATTTTAGCAAAAATCGATAATATTGAAATAGGCCTATAGTTCGAAACGGAAGACTTATTTTCCGATTTAAAAATTGGAATAACTTTAGCCACTTTCCACAAGGATGGAAATATGCCAGATGATAGGGATGTGTTATATTTAAGAGTCAGTGGTAGTACCAAGGCTGAGGCACATGAAGTAATAAATAAAGGCGGTATCCCGTCTGGGCCGGCCCCTTTTTTACAATTTAATGATTTAAGCTTTTTCAATATTGTCTCTTGACTAACTGATGGTACCGTGAAACACTGGCTGTTTGCCCAAAGAAAATTACTGTCATTAATTTGGTTACCAAAATTAGACGATTCAGGTGTATAAACGGAGGAAAAATATGTAACACAAAGCTCACATATTTCAGTACCTTTTGATGTAGAAGTTCTGCCATCTGTCATGGGAACCAGATATATACTCTTTCCACCACGTTTATCTTTGATAAAATCTTTGATAAAGGACCAAAAACACTTAGGGTCATTACGCAGCTGCTCATCAATTTCAACAATATATTTTTTGTAACATTCAGACGCTAGTTTCTCACATCTTTTATTTATTAGTTTCAGTTCTATATGATCCATGGGATCAGAGAATTTTTTATAATGTAATCTAAGTTTATATTTTTCATTTAATAACCTTTTAAGACTTCTATTAAACCACACTGGAAAACGATTACTTTTAGGCTTGCAAAGAGGCACATGTTCATGAATTAATTTCTGTAACACGTTATAGAATTCTTGTACCATTTCATTGACGTTGTCGAGATGACAAAATTTCAGATGTCGGTCTATTTTATTTAATTGTTCCTTTATAGTGACGAAATTTGCTCGATAGTAGTTGTGTCTCAAACAAGATAAATTATATGGAAGACTAATTTTTTTAGTTGACGAAATAGATATATCCAACGCTGGATGCACAAGTTCGATTTTACTAAGAGACTCTGTGGCTTGTGTCACTGTACATGTGGGTAGTGTACTAAGAACAAGATCAAGAATTCTACCTGTATTAGTTATACTATTACACTGATAAAGCTTATTAATGTTTAAAAAATCTATAAGAGCTTGAGAGTTATATGGTAAGGTATTCGTGGTATTGTTATCCTCAAGTGATTTCCAATTAATATTACCTAAATTAAAGTTACCAACTATGCACACATTATAATTTACATTATCAAAAACAGAATTACAGCTAGACAAAAAAGATCTAGTAACGTGCGACTTACTGGTGATGGCAGATAAGCTGCACAGAAAGCTAGTTGCAGTGAATCAATAGTAATCCATAAGTCTTCACATTTACTCTCCCAAGACATCATGCGACTGGATCTAAACTGTTTCAACACTGCAACCAGAACTCCCTCTCCCTCTTTTCCACAATTAAAACCAGATGAATATCTGTCCCTGCGATGTACATCGTATCTATCATCAAACAATTCTCCATTACATACTGAGTTATTTAACCAAGTTTCTACCAGAATAATTATGTCGTAGTTGTTAATACTAACATTTTTATAAAAAACATGTGTTTTAGTTCTCAAACCTCTGCAATTTTGAAAATACACTGAGAGAGTGAATTTGTTAAGAATATATTATCCAATTCAAACACCGAAAAAGACAAAGAAAATATAAAAATAAGCATTCAATGATTATAGTTTGTTGTTACTATCTTCATTCTTTCTGACGAATATCTTTCCTGACCGTACCCATACGTATTTATACTCCTTCTCTCTGGCTTTGATTCTGGTAGCTGCATGCAGAGCCTTATTACTTGGTGAAAGATGTTCTGTCACGAATATGGGATTCTTATTTCCCGGTAACCCGAGATGAGAGCTGTTCAGCTTATCCTGATTATTACTTTTGTTATAATTAATGACAGCGGCGAGGAGCTGGTCATGGACTAAGAGCGAAGCAAATTGCATAACTATAGAGCGAGGCCTTGGGTTAGCAGGATTAATCTTTGCAATGCGAGTACAACGAATGATGGCGTTATCTTTTAAGTCTACGCTCACCACAGATCCAAGCTGCTTAACTATACTGTTGAGATCTTCATTTTTGTACTCAGGTATACATTGAATTTCAATGTTGTTGGCCCTAAATTGTTGCTCCAGAGAGTTAAGGTGACTTTCCGTGGTTGAGAGCCGATTGTTAAGATCCTGTACAGTGTTTCTCATTTTACAATTCTCCTCCAGCAGCTCCTTAGCTGTTTTTCTGATACTTTCCTGTTCCTTCTCCATGTCATCAAATCTGTTATTCATAAAGTTCATAGATTCCTTTAGCTCCCTTAACTCTGACTGTACTGGTTTTATTTCATTCTGGATTATTCCAATCAAATTATCACGTAAGGTCTTCATCATATCACCAATCTCCTTTTTAATTACGTCTTGTACAATTTCGTGGACATCTTCCCTTGACAATGGAGTCGTACAGGGTGGAGAGTTATAAGCTGGTCTTTTGTTTACTCTTCCGACCTTCTTTACGTAGTTTATGCTCCGGAGAACTCGACCTTTTACTGTACATAATTTTCCATCTCTTTTAATTTGGACATAGCCGATCGCATTATCGCCGTAAGATTTGTAGAAGCCGCTGAATAAAATACGAATAAACTACGATTTTTACATACCGTAGTAATATAGTCCGTTTCATTTCTACACTTAAAAACTCTGCACTTTGGACAAAAAAAGTTATAACCATGTTAACGCTAACTCTTGGTAAATTCCTGGAGTCTGCTTTGATAAACGCAACTTCCATTTTTATTAAATGTAAAAAACGTAATAAATTTTCCCATAAAATAATATTTACTTTAACAACCATAACCTCAAAGAAGTTGTCATTACAGGAGTGACGTCACTAAACGCTGATTGGTGTTTTAAAATACGTTCCGTTTCAAGTATTTTTAATTCGTAATAATTGTTAAAAAACAAAATTATGTAAAATAAAAACGTTGCAGTGGCATT